CCCCCCCCCAAGAGGCTATACGGCCCTGCAGACGGAAAAGAAAGAACATTTACGACATCATACGAGCTGTATATCGAATGAAAATAAAAATAATATATTTACGACAGTGCAGAATCTCTACCAAAGAAAGTTTACCTCAGTCGTACAGTACGTTAGCCATGCATGCACCTGCCCTGGGGCAAGGCCGAATGTAGTTCCATGGCGTAAGTGTTAGGCCTACATGAGCATGTACTACAACAAGCACACACCGGTAGTTCCCATAGAAATAACACACCGCCGTCTGTAGTCTACATTATCCACATATACACTTCTCTGTGGTTTTTATATGACCGACCAATATTATTTACTCCGATTTACGTCTCATAGCTGCATCGGTTTCCAGAGGGAATCTAGAAATATGTCTAGAGCGGCTTGCCATATATGTTAGCGGGCAAGGGGTGCAATGCTAGCTTTCCTAACCCGGCCACGGAGCACATTATAATAGCTTTCGTTAACGCTTGGGTGACTCAGCCCCTGCACTGTAGTTTCTCTGTAGATATACACTTGGACAATAAGAATGAAATTAAAAATTAAAATGAAAAATGAGAGATGATGTAAACGAGAGAATAAAAAACGATTTGTAGGTATATTTGCGGTTGGGCGGGGGCGCGTGCAGTCGAGGTGTCGCGCAATAGGTAGCCTCCCCCGTCCTGCTTGTTCCTATTGCCTCGAATAGGGGGGGGGGGAGATGAGAAAGATATCACGCGATCAAGCGTGTTCTCGTTAATAGATATATTATTATATACCCACATAGACGTAAATTCAGTAGTATTTTAGTATACTCAATACTGCAGTGTGTATTAGTACGTACGGTCAAATCTGTAGCGAACATCGCCACAGAACGAACACTTTCTCTTGAGTGGCAGTTATACAGAACAACCACCTGCATAGGGGCGGCATGAAACGAACACTTGCCCATAAAAGACACGTATTCCTTATGTGATACTTCTATCAATGGTTGACTGCATCTCTACGGTACTCGATATGTTACTAGTTGTTACCGTACTATACGAGTTCTCTTCTAATTTACGCCCGATCGGTTATTCTATTCTATGTAAATATTACGGTAGAATAAGATGAGGGATCCTACTACCTATCGATACCTATCGAATGCTACGATACCTATTGAATCATATACTACACGGTTTGTTTGTTTTGCCAGTAGGCTATCTGCGTTCTTGCAAACAGGTAACTAACGTAGGAGGAAACTACTTGTAAATACCGCACATGTAAATATAGCTATAGTCGGGTTTCAGGGATGTCGCTAATGCAAACATACGAGTTACAAAGTTGCAGTTACTCGAGATATATGTATACGATAACATACAAGGGCCGTATAGGCTGAGCAAATGTCTAGGGGCAGTGACGGATCCAGAATTTAAAGCAGGGTGTAAGAAATAGGTGGGGGGTCTGGGGTTTGGGTCTGGGGTGGTCCTCCCGCAGAAAATATTGATAATGTAGATCGCATGCACGAGATGGTATTTGAGGCACTTTTGAGTACATGTACTGCCTTCATTCTGACCCCCCCCCCCCCCACACACACACACACACAGGCTACGGCCCTGCGTACGCCATCAGCCTCCCGTGCGTAAAACATTAAAGTTATATATCATCTTCTACTTGCTTTTTTCTAATCGTCTATTGCTTTCTAAGTTGTAGTACTCATTTCCTGATGTAGACAGTATATATGTCGGTAAAAACAGTGGAGCGTATCGCTCTCTAAACGAAACAATTAAAAAATTTCTTTATTTGAGCATCAACTCGACAGATCCACTACACCGAATATAATGGCGTTGTATATACGATGGAGTAAACCCTTCTAAACACTAAAGCCAGAACCCTAACACATATTCCACACTGTTTATAGTTGCCGTTGTTGTGGTTACCATCATTATTATTTATATTTATTATTTATATTTTCCATGTAGCGGGTGTGTCGACTGTATACGCTACCCGAATTATTCTACGGCCGCATGACTAACCTTAGACCGGAATCACACAGTAACCAGTCAGATTTACCATTTACCATAATCTCTTTATACGTCACGAATTTTCTATGGTAAAATTTGTAAAATTGTTGTTGCCATTTTTTACATTAAAAGTAAGAACTAACGGGATTAAAAGTATCGTCAAATTCTTACCTGATAAATTGTTTCTCAACTAGTTAAAAATCCAAAAAACCTGGACGATTTGATATTAGTGTTCCTAACATGAATTGCTTGCTATGGGCTATGTATGAGTCACGAGTGTAAGTTCACATCGAACAATATAGTAAAATAGGAAGTATGATGGAGCAATTTAACCATAAAAAGTGAACAGAAATACTGGAATTTTTGTTTACTATTTACGGTGACGTAATCACTTTAAATTCTTCTCCAACCACGTTCGTCAACGTAGCCGGATTCAAATATGTTATTCTTCTTCTCAGGAAGGTATAACAAAAGCGAGAAAAAACACGCATGGCCTACCTTTATGGGAATGCGGCTCCGTATGGATAGAATAAAAGGCACGTGCCCGACTGCGATGGCCGAGAACTAGAGGCACTAAGCGCGTGGAGGGGCTGCCCTGGAAACGATTAAGTTGGGCGGGGAGTACCGAACGCGAAGGGCCTTCGCTGTAAGCGTCCGGTCACACGGAACAAGGTTATAGAGATTATTCAGCCGCGACTCAGAGCCTGGATGGGATGACGTGTGTGCTGCGTGCAAACACGCACTAGAATGTCTACTAGGCGATATACCGTATAACGTGGTCATTTTGGGAAAACATTTTTCTGTTTATTGACTTTATTCGCTATTGTCATTATCATTATCAGCATGATCGGTATTGCTATATATCGGAAGGGAGGACGAATATGAAGAGGAAGAAAAAGAAATATGAAATAATAATAAGAATAATGTTAATATGATAATACTCATTACTAAGTTCATACGAGCTCTGTGTGCAATTGCATACAGTAGTCCTTGGCTTGCCTGGCACATTTTTTCAGCTGGTGCATATGGTACTTAATTGCTGTCAATCACGAATGCAGCTAATGGGTTGACGCAACCATATATACAATCAGATTTACGGCCAGATCGAGGTTTTACTGTGTGCTTCAGTTCACGTTTTAATGTTAAATTATAATGAAACAAAGAGAGAAATTAAGAGAGACGACGTCGAGACATTGTTAATAACTTGTTGTTCAGAGACTTTGCTCATCTTGTTCTTGTTAACTGTAAAACAGGTGACAATATATATATACACACAAACGCTTTCATCTTTATAAAATCTTCAGGTGCATGTATCAAGATTCTATAAAGATGATAGCGCTTGTGTAAAACTAAATGTCGGATCATATTCTCTTTTTGTAACTATATCTGAATATCGTGCAACCTAAAGACTTTTCTACTATATATATATATAAACAAAGTCAAATTATAGATAAGGGTGTTTAAAATTTAATTAACAAGCTTTCGAGATTACATCTCTTCATCAGGTAATTCAGCAGACATAAGAAATAATAATGTAAAAACACCTTGGTTATACCATGGTTATACTGACTTGATAGGGTGATTTTAACATATTTTTACCTGATAAAGAGATGTAATCTCGAAAGCTTGTTAATTGAATTTTAAACACCCTTAATCTATAATTTGACTTTGTTATTATCTACATGGTTGTTCGCGTGTGATTTTACTTATATATATATATATATATATATATATATAT